TCAAATTATGGTTTTATTCAATATTGTCTCTCCATTAGCAGGTTTGTGACCTATGAAATGGATGTAATATACATTGATATGGCCGAACCAAGTTATTGGAAAATTTTTAACGACATCAATTAACTATCAACAAGATCTAGTAGGTTTAGTTGTAGGTGGGTTTTTTTAAATCAGTTACCAGATGAAGGAAGGCCAACAGCAAGACATTGGAAGTTTCTCTCCGGAAAAGGTGTCAGTGTTGGTGTGATCAAAGTGGTTGTGTTTTCCCTCTTTTTAATATTACCTGATTAAACATTCAGAGCAAGCTATATACTGAAAAGTTACTGCTGTTAATTGCCCTGCAGCCAGACACACTTGTGAAAAGGTGACATACAGAAAGTTTTCTGAGTGCTTGTTGTTGTGCTGGAGAATAAATCTGTTGCATTATCCGTATGGCATTTCTTAGTAGATCATTAAAAGAATTCCCAGAGTAATCAGAGTGCAGAGCATTGACAGATTTTGGACACTAAGTCAATGTTTTGTTCATTAGCATGGCCAGCAGCTCCAGAAGACTTCTGACACAAGCAGTCCTTGTTCTGCATTAACTTTGCAGAGAAAGTGAGGGAAGTATTTCTTTTGTTTGCTTGAAGGCTTTGTTTGCTAATCTTGTTCTTTCTGGAGCAAGCCAATCAACAGAAAAATGATATAAAACATGCTGGCATATTATTTAGTTGCAGCACAATCCATCTAAAGTTAAACACTTTGGGGCTACAAGCTTACATCCATTTACCTGAAAGCAAACTCACTGGAGTCAATGGAGCTTTTGTTTCCTGTTTAGAGATTGCACTGTTAACTTTCCATTAATTTCAACAGGAGAGATTTCAGTGTGTGGTTGACTCTTTTCTGGAACTCAGTGGGGGTTTTAGAAGAAAGCATTGTGCCTTTACTATTTATTGTCTGTGTTTTTGCTTCATGTTTTGATTTCGAAACCAGTTATAAACAGAAATAGGCAGGACGGGGTCTATTGGGGACATAAAACAGTGGCCGCTGAGCAGTCAACTTCAAAATTTTGTTGTCTGATCATCTCAAGACCTAGTGTAGTGCCATGGCTGAGAAACTGAACCACTGACTAGAAAGTCCATTATTCAAATACTGTGGCACTTCAGCAGATCAGAGAGAGAGAGAGAAATTACCCCAAAAGGCTAATTTAGGCACCAATCATAATTAAATAATCTTATAATAGCCAGCCCATTTTTGCTCCCAGAGCAGCTTTTTTCACTGCTGCTGGAGGGATTCTACATTTTCAAACTGGAATGATTCAAATGGGCTTTTGCTCATGTTGTTAGTTGTGATAGGTTCTTGTAAATATGGGGTATACGTCTGTAGCAGTATTTTGGTGACATAGGCAGTAGGGGCTATATGGGGGGGAAGCTGGACTTTTTAAAACAACTTATTGATGAATGACACAGCACTTCATTGGCTTGCCACTGAAGTGACACAGCGCTAGATTGTAAAGGAAAAGGAAAAAGAAAGAAAAGAGATGTCCTACCACTTCCTCTGCTGCTTCCTTCTCTTATTTTTCTTTGTTTATTGGTAAGTGATACATCACTTCATTGGCTTGCCACACAAGTGACATAGCACTGAATCGTGGGTAATAACACCAGTGCTGCCCTGGTTCAATACAGTGATCCTACAAGCTGGAAACTTAACTAAAGCAATCCTATCTGCATTTTTTTTTTTTTTAAAAAAGAGTAGAAAATGAAGAAGTACCTCCTGCCACTGATCAAAATGGTACAGATAGCCATGGAAAGGGGTCAGGCCAGCTTGCAATTACCAGTAAGTTATTGTATTGATGCCAGAAAATTGATGAAACCTGACCATGCCAAAGGTAGTTCAAAACATGAGATAATTGGACCCTAAGTGGATTTAGTTGAACACATTTACAGAGTCCTCTTCAGAGCTCTGTGCTCAAGGTGGGAAGATCTGACTGACTTCCAGGATAGTGGGAGTATTTGGAGGCAGGACTTGCATGTGTGTCTCCATCTCTGCTGTGAGTTTAGTCCTAAACATAAGCAGGCAAAGGGAGAGATTGCATTTTAAATCTCTGTTGAGTGGCAAAATGTACTATGGACAGGTTAGAATCCTTCGGTTTCACCCATGACACTGGTTAAGAGAATAAAAGCAGGGACTGTGTATACTACTATGAGGTCCCTTGAAGAGGGTTGGGATAAAAAATGTTATATTTAGATAGACTATCAAATTAAATTAAATTTTATTTGATTAATATACAGATTAAGAGACGCTATATTGCCCATGTTAGAATGTGACTTTGTATTAACTACACTCACATACAGAACTTGTATTGACCAGAACTTACATTCAGGCTAAAAATTCCTCTTTTCAATAGCCTATCCTATAAACAACATCATTGATGGTGCATTGTAGACTAAACATTGTCCTCCATTTCCATTGTGATAGAGCCACCACTTATAAATGAATTGCCTATATTCATTTAAAAGAAAACTGTGGAGGAAAATAAGCTTTCTCATAATGTAGTCAGACCAAATGTGGATTAAATTTACAAGTCATCTCAGGGACTTGAACAGTGGAAAATATTCAAGTCCAGCACCACTATCCAGAATCAGTGTGCATCAAGCACCACTGTGACCGATGCCTGCATGCTGTTGTCCTTGTATTATGGAAAATTTAAAACTCTGTGTTCCATTATTGTATCTATGAAGATTCTCAGTCATCCAGGTCACCTTCTCTGTGTTCCATTGTGTGGTGGCTGAATAGCTCAGTGAGCTGGAGTATCTGGCCGCAGAGCCAGGGGTCAGTAGTGCCTTGTAGGAGAAAAGCCAGCCTGTACAGCCTTGGGTAAGCTGCACAGTTCCAGAGTGCCCTCAGAAAGAGATTAGTAAACCACTTCTGAATACTTTACACCCAGGAAACACTGGAAAGGATCACCATACATCAGAATCAACTTGGCGGCATGCAATCATCATCATCATCGTCATTATATGCATCATTTTGTGTATGTGTGTGAATGTGTGTATGTGGCCAAAAAAATTGGAAAATTTAAAAAATCAATAAAGTACTCACAGTAAGAAATCCTACTAATGGGGGTCTCACAAGAGGAGAGAAATTCTCAAACCTGGAGACAATCCTGCTTAAGGAAATCTTTCTCTTCAGGGAGCCCCTGTGCCTCTATACACCAACCATATAGTATTACAGGTACAGTATGCCTCTGCATATTATTTACAGGGTTGCGCTAGACAAAAGGTGCAGATACATTCATTTACTCTTGTGGGCTCCTTACAGGGAACTGATGTGCTGCTGTGTTGGACCAGATAGGTCTTTGGTCTGGTCCTGCGTAGGCTTCCTTATGTTCTTTTATTCTCCAGCACTGTGGGATGGGGCATCTCTCTTTGTTTATGTCTTAGGGTTAATGTCATGGTTTTTGGCCGTGTTTAAATAGGAGTTGCATAGGAGAAGGCAGCAGTGTTTGGAGTGGGCAATGTTCTAATCTAAAGCAAAAATTAAAACATAAATAACAGCAACAAGAACAATTTTAAAAAATCTCAGCAAGAGTTCAGGCAGTGTGTTGGAGACGCCTAGTGTTCAATATTTGAAATGTGACATCCTTAGATTAAAACTGAAAGAATGAGTATGACTTCTTTAGGAGTAATGGAGAAGTACGAATTAGTACGGCCCAGAGACAGAATCGATGAATTTCAATCCCCATTCAGCCATGGAAGTTTACTGGGGGAAGCAGAATTGGTAAAACCACTCCTTAAATATCTCACTTCCCTTAAAAGTCCTATAAGGATTGTTCTACGTTGGTTCCAGTTTGACAGAGCAGTAACAAACAACCAGAAATGTTCATATCCTGCAGAGCTTTTTTATACTCTTCCACATGCTTTTATCACTTCCTCTAAGTTTATTGCTCAGAACAGTGAGCTGATTGTTAAGTGTTGAGGTGACCTGAGAAGAGTTACCCTTGAATGAACCAGAACAAATTCCTCGCAAAACTCAGAAAATTGCTTTTCAAAAGTTACTTATTTTTTGTTAATGATTATTGTATTTTAAAAGTCACCTGCTGCCCTTACTTGATGATATGTGGAAAAAGTAATGTATTGCATTACAGTACTTTTCACACTGCACATTGTTTTTCTGTTTTTTCCTATCACTGTTTTTTTAAAGAAATGGATTGGTAGAAGAAGGACAAGAACTTGAGAAATCAAAAGAGTCTAAATATACCATGAAATGCCATTTAAAAGTAACATTTGAAGGTAACTAGAAAATATCCATCACACCAGTGAAGTAACTTTGCTCCAATTCTCACATTACTTTTTAAACGTAACTCCAATACACTGTACTGTACTTATTCCCAGAAGTATCTAGTTACATGTAATTATGTTGCCTGTAACTCATTTTCATGCTTTGATTCCTCTAGATCAGACCTGGGCAAAGTGCAGCCCAAGGGCCACATACAGCCCGCTAGCCACTCCTGTCTGGCCCGTGGACAGTTTTGAACATCAAAAACATTTATAGCCTTTTGTCTAAAGTTGATTAGTTGCTTACCTTTAACGTACCACAAAAAACTCTTTAGTATTTGTGGAGATTAACAAGTTTAAAATAAAAACAATCATAACATCACTGTTTCATTTTATTTTTAAGTAAAGTTGGTTCGGCCCCCAAACACAGTTCAGATTTTTCATGTGCCACCCCTATAGAAATTAATTGCCCACCCCTGCTCTAGATCTTTAATTTCTCAAAATTGCCTAATTTTGAGAAATTCCTCTTAACTGCCCCCATTAAATAAAACGGTTTAGGGGAATTCTGGAGCTCACAGCCCATTCCAGCCCTCTCAGTTGTAATTCCCACAAAAGCAAGACCATTTCACTAGCTCTTAGGGTTCCTGAAATGGATGAGAGCACACACACACCAGAAGAGTACAGCCAAGTGAACGGAAAGAACAAAAAGCTCAGAGATTTGGCCTTTCATGAATTTGACTGTTTTATTGCTTTGATTAAAAGCCTCCATAAAATGGAAAATCTTCTTAACTGGAACCTACCATAAGCCTCAGTTTTGTGATCCCATTTCTATTCCCAGGTGCTTCTCTAAAACCATGACCATACCAACAAACATCCAGAGCACACTTGTAAAATGTTCTCGTGCTAGGTAATGAATAATTTTACTGGTTAGTCATGACAGATATATTGGAGAGCACAGACCAACATGTCCCATGAAACAAGTGTTTATTACTGACAAAAACGACATACATCTAGAGTCAGGCACTGCACCTCCTGCTTGATATAATTATTCCCTTGCTAGCTTCAAAAGGAGGGTACCACAGACGTGGAGCCAACGTCTGTTCAAGGTAATTAGTTTCTCCTGAAACCTGCATTGTGAAAGCACAGCTGTTAAGCAACAGTGAAGTCGAGATGATTATTTCCATTATAGCTTGCATGGTAAAGATGCATTAAATTTAGTTCTTGCACACACAACCATTGCAATCCATAAATAAATATTGTTGCTCGTACATCATTTGTAAATCCTAAGCCAACTGAGAGGTTCTGCCTTTAATACCTCTCTTTGGTACATCATGTTATTGTGAAGAGAGATGTGGCTGGATATATTTTTGTTTCATCCTCCACCATATGGTAAATCACACCAATTAGTTCTATGCATAAGACAGAGACAGTGTTTCCAAAACTAAGTAGCAGAAATACAGCAGAACATTTAAAAAAAAGGCTTCTGCATTTGGAAGCCGCATTCCCCCTAGGCATCCTTCTCATGGTGGACGTCTGTTCCTCATGTTCTCCAGGAGATCCTGGGCCTCTTGGAGCCCATGGGCAGCCGCTACACTCAGGAGTTTTTCCACATCCCTGGAAGAGATGGAAACAGCACCAGATGAACAGGCAGGAGGAGGAGAAGAAGACACAGACGTGAGCACTTAAGAGCCTTGGAGCTTTTTTTGCTATCTGTCCATTTGTAACTAAAACTTGGAGAAGTTACTTTTTGGGCTATGGTTCCTGCAGTCCCAGAGAGCCATGCTGGTTGATGGATTCTGGGTTCTATAGGGCCTCAAAGTAACTCTTGCCAGCTCTGTTTGTGATGATGTTTAGGTTCGTAGCATCTACAGTAAGTTAATTCCTGTTACTGGAGCCTGTCACCAGTCTGCTCTTTCCTCCATTCTTTTATTTAATCCCCCTCTTGGATCTCCTAAACGCATTGTATTACAGAGCTTAGAAAGTTATTTTCAGGAGGAATTAATACAATGATATGCGGAAGTCATCCACGGTTAAGTTAGGATGATGCTTTGGGTTCCACTAAGATGGAGAATATTGGGAGGCCGTTTCCACTTTCTGCTACATAAAGTTGCCAGGTTTCAGGACATCAGGTGAAGTCTCAAGGAAATGATATGCTTCCACAGATGCCCAGGCAGGGTGTGAAATTTCAGAGTGACTAGCCCTGAATGAGAATGTTTTGTGTGTGTAATTTGGCTTTAAAGCCTGTGCACCCATCTTCACCTGCTCCTATCTGGCATCAGGGAGTAAAGCACCAGGATCACAACTTCTAACATTTCTTGTTACAGCAGACCAAACAGCAATACTGCAGGGCCTGAAAAAAATAAATTTCCCTAGTGAGCCTTCCTCAAGCCTCAGCAGTAATGTAAGGCTGGGGGAAAACTTCCTGCATGCCATGAGGATTATAAGCAAGGCTACAGGAGATGTAAACTCTAGCAGAAATGCTAACAAATGTTCAAGCAACATGCTCTATTTTGATAGAACTGACTTATAGTGACCCTAACTAGTCCTTCAAGGTAAGGGAGATATTTAAAGAGTGGTTTTACCAGTTCCATTCCCCCAGTGAATTTCCATGGCTGGACAGGAATTTGAATCGTGGTCTCCAGAGTCGTGAGGAGCAAGATTTAAACATACCATTCTTCAAGTGCAGCTGTTATATTCTTCAGTTTTCCCACAGCCAAATTAAAAGAGGAGTGAGGGTGGCCTTTCTCTGCTGCTTGTCTGTAAGAATGAAGAAAATTAAGAAAACAAATATTCTAAATAACCCCACATAATGACACATGAGCCTTCTAACTTTTTACCCTCACCCATCACTGTCTCTATTGCCACAAATATGAAGGCGAGTGTCTGCTGAGGAAACCCATTCTATTAGTCTGAAGTATAACTTTATAGAATGGCCTGGATAACTCAGCAATGTATTTATCTGGCTGTGGAACCAGAGGTGGGGCGTTTTGATTCCACACTGTGCCTCCTGTGAGGAAATCCCGCATGTGTGGCCTTGGGCCAGTTGCACAGTCCTAGGATGCCCTCAAAAGAAGAAAAGGGTAAACCACTTCTGTACCTCGAAACCCCTGAAAAGGATTGTCATAAGTCAGAACTGACTTGATGGCACACGATTATATTATTATATAACTTTAAGACGTTGTCTTCTTGAGCCACTTAACAACATTTGAAATTGAAAGTGGAAAGGAAATTCAAAGCAGCAAACTCTACTTTGGTTTGATCCCAGCAATTGCACATGCTAGGAATGAACCAGAAAGGTCAAATCTGTAGCCATTGATAGGAACCCAGAAAAATTTGGATAAGAATGCTCTGGGGGCATGCTAGTTCATGGTGGAAATTTGGGCTTCTGATCACTGGGAAATCAGTGGATCAGCCTGTCCCCACTGTGAACCAAACACCAGGAGAAATGCTCATGTAGTATACCCTTAGATATACTACAGAGTGGTCAACCAGACCAGATGGGTGGGATATAAATAAAATAAAATAAAATAAAATAAAAAAATAAATAAGATAAACAAACAGTAGGGGCCTTAAAGATACCCCTCTGGTAAGGTTCCTGCTAAGTTGGGTGCACGGGCGTCTCTGCCTCCCGCACACAGCTGTCTTCCTCCTATGGAGCGATCATGTTAGGTTCTGGCAATAGGGACATAGGTAAACTGGTCACAGTCTTCCCACTATGCTGAGGCTTACTGGATTTTCATTTAAGGGTGGCTTCAGGTGGGGCATTAGAGGTACTTTCCTCTTTCTTCATAATTTCCAAGATTTGTGTCCTCAAGTGCTACTGTATCTGCAGAACATTACACCAGGGTCAAGGCAATGCTATATAATTTCCAGCATCCTTTGACTGGGAAGTTTTTTAATTTAGCACAGCCTTGGCTAGCTCAGCTGACACCGGGGGGCTACATTGCTTGGGTGGTGTGAAACATGTGAGAATTTCTGGGAATAATCAGGTACATTTCCTGGAACAAATGCCCCATCTGGATTAACTCTAAGTTATGGTCATTATTTCTACTTTTGCACCAATGCATATACCGTATTTTCCATGTATAAGACACTACTTTTTTTCTAAAATCATTACACAAAAAATTGAGGGGTGTCTTATACACAGAAGTAAGCTGAAGAGAGAACAAAACTTGCCTCTGTAAACAGGCTTTCTCCAATCATGAGGCTTAGTTTCCTCCAATCACAAGCCTTATGGAACTGAGGTCAGCTGATGCTGAACAAACCAATTGGAACACATCTCGTTGGAGGTGGAGCCTGTATGCTCAGATACAACAGAGACTCGTAATGCCAAGCATTCTGAGCCCAGAGGCTGAATACTCTAAGCTAAGATTTCTTAACTTTGGATTAGAAAAGGAGTGACATCTTATACACGGGGGTGTCTTATACATGGAAAAATGCAGTAATTGATATAATTTGTTACCTTTATATCCCTCCCTGCATGTTCAATTTGCTCTGTTCAGGGCTCTCCACCTTTCTACTTTTATTCACAACCACCCTGTGAGGTAAGGTCAGACTGAGAGAGTATGTTTGGCAAATCAGTAAATGTCATGACCAAGCGGAAATCTGCACTAAAGTCTTCTGAGTGAGTCCTAGTCTAACATACCATGCTACCCTGGCTTTTTAAATAATCTTATGCAAATTTCCCACATTATCTCCTCGGTTGTCTTCTCTTTTTATGATGATGCAGTTCTTCTTTCCAGTCAATGTAATGTATAAGTGTCCATCTTAAGATCATCTATAACAAATATTGTGTGGTTGCTGTTACAAAGAAGATGAGGGGGAGGAGATTAGATTGTTAATCAGATTAATCATTGCTCAAGCCTTACCTGAACCACTGCATGGCTTTCTCTTCATTCTTTTCCACCCCAGCTCCTAGCCAGGAGACAAAGTCACAGTCATAGAAGGTTGTCGGTGATGGTTACCGCTCCCTGTGCCTTTGTGCCCTTAATAGCAGTTTGCTCTAAAGACATAAACAGGTTTTAGTGATGATGCACATCACCATTCTGGGAACATGCTGTAAAGAAAGAGGCCAGGGCATCTTTTTATTTCATCATTTGGAAATCTTACTTTACAGACACATTAGATGAAGTTAAGATGGCCTGTACCCTTTGATCTTAAATATCCATTCAGGAGAATTGTCCTGTGATGCTCGAATAACATAATGTTAAAATACGGCAATTTGGGATTATGTGCAGATGCAACTGTCAGGAGGCCTGTAGGTCACAGAGTATCTGTTTTAGGTGCAAAATGCTCCAGGTTCCATTTCTAGCACCTCTGGTTTTAAAAGACCTGTGGATAGCAAGGCCGGGAAAATGAGTCAAAGCTGGCTGGACTAGATGGCATGATCAGACACTTAGGGATAGGAGAAGTTACTTTTTGGACCACAGCTCCCAGAATCACCTAGCCAGTGAGGGGAGCCTTTCCTATTCTCCTACCCTATGTTTAGACTACAATCCCCTCCACTGGACCTATTGGCTGGGTCTTTTGGGAAAAGCAGTCACCAAAAAATACAGTATGGTCAAAGTCATGAGTAGGAGAAGTGTTCCCTGGGGCCACAGGTAGCCTCCGAATACTGCTTTTTGTGGCTGTCAGTGTTCATTTAGGGAAAAAAAGTAAAAAATTAAAATTAAAAAATTAAAATGAACTGCAGTTCCTGAAAGCCTCAAGGACTGGCAATCCACCATTTAAATAGGCCACAGCAGTCACACATGCACAACATTTAATGCCCCAAAATATTGATTTTCCAAAATAGGAAGAAAACAGTTTGCCAGTTCACATTCTCTCTCTCTCTCTCTCTCTCTCTCTCTCTCTCTCTCTCTCTGTGTGTGTGTGTGTGTGTGTGTGTGTGTGTGTGTGTGTGTGTGTGTGTGTGTTGGAGGTTTCACCTGTTCTTGGGTTGTCTGTGGATCCCCAAGGGCTTGGCAACAGAAGAACTACTTTGGATGTACTCATATCTGCTGTAAATTAAAAGTGATCAGCACACATTCTGGCCTCCTCTCCCCATTCCCCCACACAGAGAGAAGAGAGAGAGAGAGAGAGAGAGAGAGAGAGAGAGAGTGTTTGGTAAAATCTTTGGAATAGTTATAAACAATGGCTTACTGGAGTTTCAGATTAAACTAGAGAAGATGAAGTTCTCTTATATTTTTCTTTTCACACATCCAATACCAGCAACAATCATATACTGTACTTATGTTTACCCCTTTCTCTTCTATATGAGCAACAAATATATTGAGATGGAACAGAGATACAGTACATGGTTAGTCCTTGTACCTGACAGCTACTCGCCCATATCTGTATATTCAGCTCAGTTTGTGAAGAGTACAAACTGCAACCAGGAAGCCAGATTTTAGTGAATGATGACAAGAATTCTAGCTCTAGGGATATATTTAGAAGTGGAAGTGCAATCATGTCAAGTTCTGCATGAACAGGATGAGATCCTACACTGATAATCCTTTTCACATTCTCAGTTCTCGTCAAAGGTGCACGATGATAATGGCTAAAGTAAGATAATTACCTTTCAGGTATCTCTGTCCGACAACATGCTGAGCGTTGGAGTACCCTAGGTGAGCGTACATATGTGCCACGTGGAAATGGAAGTTCTCATAACACAGTGTGATGTAAAGTAGAAGAAAGATGGAACCACTGATAGCCAGCAGCTATAAAGGAAGAAGAAAAGAACAGAAATGCTGAATAATATTTCTGACGAAAGACCAGAATCCACCCATGCACCCTTTTTTTGACAATGCACATTGACTTTTCCTTTCTTGGCCTGTCTTTCTCATCCTGCTTTTTATCCTAGTTGATCTACCAACCACCCTTTTGCTGTAAAAAAAAAAGTCATGCTACAAATGGTGAGACATAAGATGGTCATATATCCTACTTGGTGCTTAAATGATTTACTTTTATCACCATCTTCTCCATAATCATCATCTAAGAACTGCAGAGCTGGAAGGGACCCTGTGGATCACCGAGTCCAGCCCCTGTCAAGGAGTAAAACTTCCAACCTCTGGCTTTGCCACCAGATGCCTAAACCACTGAGGTATCCAGCAGTTATGGACTACATCTCCCAGAATCTCCAACCACCATGGCCTTTGGCCATGCTGGCTGTGGAATTTTGGGGGTTGCAGCCCAAAATCTTAAACTGCCCTAACTTTGCTCCTCTGTTAGGAAGGAGAGTTGCTTATTTTAAGGCATCATCTGTTTCAGATGTGCATAAATGTTGCCCCCCTGGGGGCTACAGGTGATGCTGCCTTGGTCGGGAGCCATTTGTGCAGACATACAAGCATCCTGACAATCCTTTTTTTCTCCTTAAGTGGATGTGAATAATATAATAAGAAGGGAGAATTTGGGCCTTGAGCATAATGAATTAGTACCTGAGCAGTAAGCTGACCAAGCAGATAGCTCTCTTGGGCCGCCACTAAACTGGCCCTTTTGAAGTAAGCTGGAGTTCCCTAAGATCGGAGAGAGGAACAATGTGCCATTGGGTGCATTCTCACATCCAAATGGCATACAATCTCAGGTGACCCTATTTAGTCCAACTCTCTCTGCTGTCGATTTCTGTTATAGTGAAGTGGCTTAATAAATGAGTCAAATCAGGATATTGGAAAATTGAACACTTTCCCTGCTCCTCTACGGAGGTGCAGGAAGAGTGATATTAATTTTTTTTGCCTCTGCTAGACTATTGTGATGTGCTGAATCACTTAGATTACATTTTTTTAAAAATATTTTCTTTGTCTTGTGTGTAGTGCCAACCAAGTACAGTAACTGCCTGCAGTCATGATTTCAACTGTCACATCACACAAAGACAAAGCTTTTTAAAAAAATCAATCTAAGTGATTCAGCACATCAGTGATGATCTAGCAGAGGCAAAAATATATAAAATTTAATGTACCTTTCCCCAACACAGAGGAACCTGGGAAGTATTTAGTTTGTCAATATCCTGAAGTGGGTTTCTTATTAAGCCACTTCACAATAATGAAAATGAATAGTGGAAGTTGCTTTGGCAGCTTTTACAACTTGCAAGGCTCAGTTTTGGTCCATTCCCAGTGATCACACACCCTGGAAATGAACCAGACTAGAGTACACCTACCAAAAAAGTAGAAGCCCCTGACAGAGGGTCAAAAAGGTATGAGTGAGGGGCATGGATTGGATCACTCTAGCGATCAGGTAATCTGAGCACTGGAAAAAAAAACAATGAACTAATCTGCCCCCACAACAGGATAAATCCCCATCTGATCAAGTCCTTTGTCACAGGTTCAAATTACAGTACAGTAATGATTTCTCAATGCACATCTGCCCACACAAATTACAGTAGCAAATGCATATTTTATGCACATCTGTGTTCATTTTGTGGTTAAGTTACTTTCCTCTTTTTTAAAAAAAACAGTGTAAGTGGACTCTTTAAATACTCCCAACTTGAAAAGGGGCTCTCAATGGAGAAAAGCACCCAAGAAAAAAACCTTTTTAAAAAACTGATTAAGAAATTTACTTAATTATGTTCATAGATTTGCCTTTTAAAACCTGGGTGCCACAAAGAACCTGCTAGCTACAATCAGGTAATGGAGCAGGTTTATATTTCCTGCAAAGGAGAAAAAGTTTTTCATTCAGAACTCCTCTGTGGCCCTGGTCACATGAGAGAAATGTTCTCTAGTTATCCCCTAGTTAGATTGTTGTTGTTTTTCCAGTCACACAACACATCATCAAGATCAAAATATTTTCCAGGTCAGTGGCATAACTGCAGTTTATTTTCTGTTCTTTGAGAGGTTTGTGTTATTTTGTACCTCTCTTGTATTGGTGCATTCCTTACCAGCATTGTCTGCGTGCATGACCTGATCCACGTCTTTTCAGAATCAAAGCCAGAAAGGTGGCCTCCATGATTGTGGTGCACATTTATTTATTTATTTATTTTCACGGCCAGTACATCGATATGTTGGTATCGATATGCTGATAGGTCACAGAGCAATTTCAGACATTGCCGCAGTACCGGCATTTTGACATGCCCCTTTTTGCCAGTCATTGTGAGGAGGCAGTTGCAGGATGCGGGAAAGAAAATGGCAGATTAAGCTGAAAGGCAGAGTTCTTGGGACGTTTGCCCTGGTATATATACCTTATGATTAAGAATCAGTACAACAGGGGTATAAAAAATATTGGAAGAACTAGAGAACAATTTCCTCATGTGACCAGGGCCTGTTACACAATTAAAGCTGAATTGAGGGCTCTGAATTCCTTCCATTGCAACAGAGCAATTTAAGAGATTCCTTCAAATCTGGTGTGGAGCAAACCCAAAGCCTGCTGGATGTTTTTAAACAACAACTCCCATCGCTTGAACCATCAGCCATGATAGACAGGCAGATTGGAGCTGGGGGCCAGCTACAGTTTGGAGGGCCACAGATTTCTCACTCCTGCTCTGAATCACGACTAAGCCTAGAAGGCTAATAACTGTAGGTGCGTGTTTGGTCTTAGTCATGACAATGTGGCTTTCTAATAGGGATGAATGCCTTGAAAGGCACTTCTGTGTTAGACTGAGTTATTGCAGTCTCTTTTCTCCATACATAATAAATGTATGAGGCTTCCTTTGCACAGGCCAGCTTATCACCACATTGCAGGCAGTGGCTGGCAATCTGTGCAAAGCACAGAGAATCGGACCCAGGCAATCTCCCCTTTCCACAATGGATATAAACATCTATCAGATACGTTTCCTTAAATAAAGCCCACCTACCCTCAGCCTTTTAAGTGTGACCAATTGTGTCTTTATTAGAGTACACACAGACATTTTCAACAGTGAGGTTGATTGATCACTCTGTACTGATCAACAGGTGTTTTCGCTCCAGAAAGGAGTGCTTGGTGATGTCACAATGGTTGCCCCTCCCCTTGTTTATTTTATCTCCAATATTCTGTTCAGAGCTCTACTGTCATGCATTCCAGTTCTAACTGAAAATAGTAAAAAGCAAAGTACTGTTTTTCTATTGTTTTGCTTAAATTGTAGTCACTTGGTAGCAATTGTGGTATTTGAAAATATAAATAACTGCAAAGGCTCTTTCTCTTAGCACTGATGAAGTAGACTTGTCCACAAAAGCTCATATTAAAAATATATAAAAACATTTGTCTTTAAGGTGCCACCACATTTTTGCCTTTTTTTTTTTTACTTTTTAATTTCTGTTTTGCCTTTATCTATAATAAATGCAAAACATAATATACAATAATGATATAGGATTGCAATTGATCTGAATAATCACATTTAGGATCACGCTCTGAATCATTTTCTGATTTTCATGCATGTGATGAAGTGACATGTGGTGAAGAAAACCTCACGCTGAATAAAACTTCTCAGTTTCTTCAACAGTTGTTTCCCTGATTCCTGTCTCTTCTAAGATTTTTGTGAGAAGAGTGATCAGCATGGGTTGCCTGAAGTCAAGATCTCTTAATATGTATCTCTGGCAAGCAACTGTTCTTTGCCTTGTAACATCCAGGTAATGAGAGTTAACATGTCATAGGTCCAAAACAATTTGGGAAGCTGGTCCAGCAACAGGGCTACTCTTTTTTTGGAGGGGGGGCAGGCTGGAATGATTCCTGTAGAGATGGAAAGATCACTTTAAGGGAGATTGCTCTCAGAGAACCGATCCTTTCCAGCCTGACCAGACATGATCCTTTCTCACCATAAGATCACAACCTTATTTAGTCCCTTCCAACGAAGTCTCCATAACTGTGGTGTTCCCTCCCTAAGAAGATCTGTCATGTCCCTTCAGTCAAGCAGTGAATTTAGATATCTGGCTGCAAAGCCAGAAGTTGGGACAGTGAATTTAGGTATCTGGCTTAACCGGGGCTGGATTTGATGATCCATAGGATCCCTTCCAGCTTTGCAGTCCTAAAACAATTATAATTATTAATTTGTATTTAAATCAGAAGTTCTCCTTTTCAAATAGAACAGGACAGATTCCTAAGGACAGGAAAGTACATGTAATATCACACCAGACATTTTATGACCAAAAGAAAAAGAATTTACAAGAACCATTATAGTTGCCACTACTTAGATCTGGCCTGCTTTTCCTTTTTGGCCTTCATCAGCCAAAATAAAGAAATCAGCAGGAGGGATTATGATTGATTTATTTTGGCACAGAATGTATGGTCATTCTGTCTTCTAATGTCAAACCATTGTTACAGTTGCATTGGTGTTTTTTTTTTCTTTAAATAACCTTCCAAGTGGGACAATAAATAATTCAAGTCTGTCGTAGCAGGTGCTTTGGGGCAGAGAGAGGACCCCCTGAAATAAACAACACCCCCAAATCCCAGCTATGATCACTCACCTCCCATTTGTGCCACACAGAAGAAAAGGGTTTCTTAATCCTGTGAGGATGGTTACTCTTCGAGAAGTCCTCCATACCTGCCCAGCTCCTTTGTGCGGATTTCCGCTGTACCAAAACTGATTTCATGGTCTTCCTTGTTCTTACATGCTTCTTTTTAGCCAGCTTTTTACTCCAACAAAGCACAGCCTGCTTCATTTCCCCCCACCCTTCTCCCACCTCCCTTTGGTATTGAGTCCCACATCTTTTCTTCTGTTGACAATCGTTGACATTGTTTCTACCACTGATTTATGAACAATGAGAGAAAAGATGCACTGCTCATGGCAACAGAGAAAAGAAGAACAGAGCTGGGAGAAATTACATTTTTGGATTACACAATTACTAGCTATGCTGGATAAGGGATTCTGGAAACTGTAGTCCATAAACGTAACTTTTCCAAATCTGTTAATTTTTTTAAGAGGTTCATTGGTCCCTAATCCCAATAAGGTCCCAGTGCTTAGCTTTTGTGATAGACCCACATTCAACAGATGCAGCTTTTCTCAACAGGTTTATGAAACCATGGGAGAAAAATCCTGCAGGGGAGAAGAGGCAACAAACTGTACAGAATTCCTGAATTGTCTATTTTTTTTCAACTACAACAAATAAACTTATAAACTCCCCAAACTTTGCTTGAATTTATTCAACTCAACCCATACCTATAAATGTTTTACACATATTTATTAACATGTGTTTGGCTAATTCTCAACAGCTCTTGTAAACTCAAGGTTTTGATTCCTTTATGGAATCAATCCATCTCATATTTGGTTTTCCTATTCTGCTGCCTTACCCAGCATTATTGTCCTTTCCAGAGAATCTTGCCTATTCATGATAAGCCTGAAGTACGACAGCCTCAGTCTCATCATTTTTGCCTAAAGAGATACTTCAGGCTTTATTTGCTATAGGACCTGCTTGTTTATCTTTCTGGCAGTTCAGGCTCTCCTCTATAAAGCTCTCCTTCAGTGCCATATTTCAAATGGATCATTTTTTTCTTGTCAGCTTTCTATACTGTCCAGCTTTCACATCCATACATGGTGATTTAGAATACAAGACTGTAGGTGATCTTGGTCTTGATTTCCTGTGACTGATCATTTCACTTGATGATCTTTTCTAATTCCTTCATTGTTGCCTTCCAAGTCTCAATCTTCTTCTGATTGCATGACTGCAGTCTCCATTTCGATTTATGATTGAATCAAGGTATTTTCAACTTCTTCAACTCATTCAATTCCAGGCATCTCATCCTGTATGAGGTAAAACCCTTTTTAGCAACATCTTGAGCATCACTTTGCTTGGATAGGAAATTAATGAAGTGGTCCTATAGTTACTGTACTTCTTGGCAGCTCCTTTCTTGGTGAGTGGAATGTATATTGAACATTACCAGGTTTTGGGCCATTATTTTGTTTTCCATATTTGTGAGACAGGAGGCGAGAGGGGTATCCTACTCGCCGGAGTGCTGTCCTTCCTCCGCACAGAAGAGAAGTAAGTGCAGACCCAGCCTGTCTCATCAAAAAGACAGAGCAGTGAGAGACAGAAACATAGAAAGAGGAATATAAAAATTAACCGTTGAGGGGGCTCAGGGAAAAATGGCAGGAATGGAACTGAAGAAGAGAATGGAGCTAGAGGTGGGGACAGCAGATATAAAAAGGAGAGAAGAACAGTTGCTGCCAGGTTGGGAATGGGTTTGGATGGAGGACTCATGGACCAGTGCATGGGAAAGACTAAGAGTGCCCAAGGAGGCGGCGGATTATAGAAGGAGAAGGGAGACGACACCCCCCCCCTTTGACCATCTTATTGGGGAGAGGGAGAGGCCAGAGAGTGGAGAAGGAAGCTTAGGGAAGGAAAGAGTAGAGAGAGAAAGGAGAGAGAGGCTGGAATGGAGAGTGAATGAAATGAGGCGGAAGGGATTCAGGGAGGACCCTGGAAGATGAGACCCTGGAAGACGAGACCGTGCCCTTGTTGGAAGGTGAAATGGGACAGACTGTGAACCCCAGTATCTTTGCGGATTGGCCAGGTCCATGGAACTCTGGTGAGAGGAACCCATTCCTGGATGACGATTGGAAGCCCCTTCAAGACCAGTTGTCTGAAGGAGAAAGACATTGGAATCATATTATTGACACCGGTTATTTTTTAAATACACCAATAAATACATCACCTGTTTCTGAACAACAAACATCTCTTGATTTCTTTGAGACTAGGAAGGAGCCAAAAATCGAACTCTTGCAGTATTCTTGTTACAATTTTCATAGATTTAGTCTCTGTGGCTTGAAACAGTTCTATCGGTATTCCATCTACCCCTAGTGATTTATTTCTTCCTACTGCTTTCACAGCAGCTTTCATTTCACTTTCTAGAACTGCGGGTTCATAATCACAGGGTTCCGCTTCAAAAGAGTCTGTTTACTGTTATCTCTTCTGTATAGGTCTACAATATACCCTGTTTTCCTGAGAATAAGACAGGGTCTTATATTAATTTTTGCTCCAAAAAAACGCATTAGGGCTAATTTTTAGGGAATGTTTTATTTTTGTCACGTACAACCATCTACATTTATTCAAATGCAGTCATGTCATCTTCTGGTTACTGCAAAATGGTGGAGGGCGGGGTTTCACTTAACTAGGGCTTATTTTGGGGGTAGGGCTTATATTACGAGCATCCTGAAAAATCATACTAGGGCTTATTTTCAGGTTAGGTCTTATTTTAGGGGAAATAGGGTACTGTTTCCACCTTTTATTTTCTTCTGGGAAGAAAGTGTGCTTCCATTTGGTCATTCAGCACAAATACAGGTATCACCTGTTTTACATTTGTATCCAAGATTGCGTATCAGTGCCTACCAGTATTGAAAATCAAGTTCCATTATCAAGATCTCTCATTATACTGTGCTGCCATCATGTGGCCGTACAAGTTTTTAACATCCGAGTTGCTGAGCAATTCATAGCAAACTTGAGCAAACTTCCAACTGCAAATTACCCGTGACAATGGGTAGAGACGGACTGCAGAGGTGAGATTTTCACTCAGCCCACAGTCCTTTGTCCATCTAATAAGCCTATTCAGCCCAAAGGAAAGTGAAAGCAACCTGGAGGAAATATCAGGGATCTCCTACCAACTCTCCTCAGACTGAAGAAGCTACTTGGATGAGTAGCGAAATATTTCAACCTAATAAGAAAGAACTCAAGTTGCCATGACTCAACTTCCAGATAACCTCACCTGGATGACTGAGAATCTTCACAGATATATCAAACAAGAATCTTCAGTCATTTACCTGGTGTGAAATGCCACATTGACTCACACCATTGTCTCTATTAAGTAACCATAGTGTAAGATGAGTTCCATGTTCAGGGGTGGGGATATCTGTTCCTTAGATTTCAGGTTTCCAAATAATGTCTACAATTTACTTAAGGCTGCCCCCACACTTCTGAAAACTGTTCAAGGCCAAGCCATTAAGCAGAATGAGACTACAGAGACTAGTGGCCTATGAGGTGCATGAGAAAGAAAGATACACATTGCAATTCAAGGGAGAATCTACTCTGAGGTACAGCTCCCTTACCATCTTTAACAGCTGTTTGCTGGGGATCTGCAAGCAGTTAGCACAGAATTAAAAATATTTACCTTTAGTGTGTTCTGTTTCTAGACCAGACAATTCTCTTTAGCCATTAGTTATGAAGATCTCGATTGGTGTATTCAGTCAGATTCTAGAGAAATTGAAGGAACTTTCCTGTGTTATGTTTGAGATGACTCATACTCAGTAATGTACAATTCCATGTTGTGTCTGGAAGTGGAAGGAAGTTTCTTAGAAAACAGAAATTGGGTTCAGACTGTAAATTTTTGGCTCTGACTTTATTTTCAGTACAGTAACTGCATAAAATCAGTTCAGTTGGAATCCTACTTGGCATCTGGAAACTTTGGCATTGAATCTTTCTCATGTTCTTCTTGTATCTTAACTATTACGAATAGTTGAGAGATCATTTAATTCTCTGCTTTTTGTGTAAACTTCTGAAGTATTCTGCTGTGTGACTAATTATGTATTGTTTATTGGACTGTTAGGAAGACAAAAATGTCTAAAGAAGAACTACACAACTTGTGGTGACAATGAAGAAGCTGAATTAATTAGTGATTTTGTATACTTGGAGACTCTTGAGAGTACCCTGGAGTACAAGAAGAACATCCGTTCTGAAGGAAATCAACCCTGAGTGCTCACTGGAAGGACAGATCCTGAAGCTAAGGCTCCAATACTGTGGCCATCTCATGAGAAGAGAGGACTCCCTGGAAAAGACCCTGACGTTGGGAAAGTGTGGAGGCAAGAGGAGAACGGGACGACAGAGGACAAGATGGGTGGACAATGTTATCGAAGCAACCAACATGAATTTGACCAAACTCTGGGAGGCAGTGGAAGACAGGAGGGCCTGGACACGACTTAACGACTAAACAACAACAACAATACTTGGCTCAATCATCAATCCAAATGGAGACTGCAGAAATTGGAAGAAGACTGAGACTACGAAAGGGCAGCAATGAAGGAATTAAAAAAGATCATAAAGTGTAAGGATGTGTCACTGGAGACCAAGACCATCTACAGTCTTACACTTCTGATTACTATGTCTAGGTGTGAAACCTGGACAGTGAAGAAATCAGACATGGAAAAAAATTGAATAATTTGAAATGTGGTGCTGGTAGATAGATTTGTTGATACCCTGGATTGCCAGAAAGATGAACAAGTTGATCTTAGAACAAATCAAGCAAGAGCTATCTCTGGAGGCAAAAATGATGAAACTGAGGCTGCTCTGCTTTTAGCACATCATAAGAAGGCAAGATTCTCTGGAAAAGACAATAATGCTGGGAAAGGTGGAAGGCAGCAAGAAGAGAGGAAGACCAAATATGAGATGGATTGACTCCCTAAAGAAACCCACAGGCTTCAGTTTAGAAGAGCTGATAGGGCAGTTGACGACAGGACATTTTGGAGATTGCTCATTGGGTTGCCATAAGTCAGAAGTTACTTGATGGTACATAACAACAACTTGGACCGGAATTCCTATGTTATTTCCTACTTACATGAATTTACACGAACAGGATTTCAGACACACATATTTCCATCTGGCAACAGCTTAATCAAGCTAATAACAGCATTCAACTCCAGCAAGACATTCACCTCTGTAACCTGAATCAGAATAAAAGACTCACTGTGTTAATCAGCTCATCTTTATCAGGATGTCTATCACCATTGTTTGTTAATTATCACTGTTTGTTAATTATCAGTGGTAATATAAACAATACAGTGTCATCAAAGCGACCAACATGAATTTGACCAAACTCTGGGAGGCAGTGGAAGACAGGAGGGCCTGGACACGACTTAACGACTAAACAACAACAACAATACTTGGTTCAATCATCAATCCAAATGGAGACTGCAGAAATTGGAAGAAGACTAAGACTATGAAAGGGCATCAATGAAGGAATTAAAAAAGATCATAAAGTGTAAGGATGTGTCACTGGAAACCAAGACCATCTACAATCTTACACTTCTGATTACTATGTCTAGGTGTGAAACCTGGACAGTGAAGAAATCAGACATGGAAAAAAATTGAATAATTTGAAATGTGGTGCTGGTAGATAGATTTGTTGATACCCTGGATTGCCAGAAAGATGAACAAGTTGATCTTAGAACAAATCAAGCAAGAGCTATCTCTGGAGGCAAAAATGATGAAACTGAGGCTGCTCTGCTTTTAGCACATCATAAGAAGGCAGGATTCTCTGGAAAAGACAATAATGCTGGGAAAGGTGGAAGGCAGCAAGAAGAGAGGAAGACCAAATATGAGATGGATTGACTCCCTAAAGAAACCCACAGGCTTCGGTTTATAAGAGCTGATAGGGCAGTTGATGACAGGACATTTTGGAGAAGAAGAGCTGATAGGGCAGTTGACGACAGGACATTTTGGAGATTGCTCATTGGGTTGCCATAAGTCAGAAGTTACTTGATGGTACATAACAACAACTTGGACCGGAATTCCTATGTTATTTCCTACTTACATGAATTTACACGAACAGGATTTCAGACACACATATTTCCATCTGGCAACAGCTTAATCAAGCTAATAACAGCATTCAACTCCAGCAAGACATTCACCTCTGTAACCTGAATCAGAATAAAAGACTCACTGTGTTAATCAGCTCATCTTTATCAGGATGTCTATCACCACTGTTTGTTAATTATCACTGTTTGTTAATGATCACAGCTACTGTCTGTTAATTATCAGTGGTAATATAAGCATTACAGTGTCATCAAAGCGACCAACATGAATTTGACCAAACTCTGGGAGGCAGTGGAAGACAGGAGGGCCTGGCGTGCTCTGGTCCATGGGGTCACAAAGAGTCAGACACGACTTAACGACTAAACAACAACAACAATATAAATAATAATAATGTGCCACAAAGTCACTTCTGACTTAAACAATATAAATAATAATATAATGTGCCACAAAGTCACTTCTGACTTATGACAACCCTTTTCAAGGTTTTCCAAGCAGAGAGTACTCAGAAGTGGTTTATCACTCCATTCTCCTGGGACTATGCAGCTTGGCCAAGACTTGTTAGGGCAACAATTAACACTTGTATTTCTTTGCACTTTTATTCCATCCCATCCCTCTGATTATCCCTTAATAATAATATAATGTGCCACAAAGTCACTTCTGACTTATGACAACCCTTTTCAAGGTTTTCCAAGCAGAGAGTACTCAGAAGTGGTTTATCACTCCATTCTCCTGGGACTATGCAGCTTGGCCAAGACTTGTTAGGGCAACAATTAACACTTGTATTTCTTTGCACTTTTATTCCATCCCATCCCTCTGATTATCCCTTGCCTTCTCACTGATCTATCCCAGTACATGTGTAACAATCTGAGAAGGAAGGTAGCACTCCCACATATCTGATGAAACAGGTCGGCATCAATGAAAAGGTATGCCCAGGAAAACTCATTGGAACGCTTACGGTGCCACTGGGCTTGCAGTTAGACTAAGACAAGGATTTTCTTAATTCTAAAAATTCCTAGACTAGGGGAGATTTGCATTTAGCATAGTTTCAGTTTATTTAATGTCAGCTCAACTGGCCCTCAGCTGCCTTGGCTAATTAAGGCTGCCTTCTAGCAGAGATGTTCTCATGGAAAACCTTCTGCAAATGCTAAAATGTTTCTTGCTGAACAAACATGTAGAGTGGGAAAAAAAATGAAGAAAACAATCTGTGTATTTTCTAAAACAAAGGATATTTTCAGTAGCAATTTGCGTTTTGCTTTACAAAAAGAAGACAGTGATCTATTTTTGTAATCGTGCTTTTTTCCGTATTTTAAATTCTCTTCCCCCCCTCCCATCCACGTTTCGTGTAAATACTGAAATATTAAAATCGTTTCTCTTTTGACAGTAATGGACAATGACTTAAAGATGAAAAAAATAATAATACAACAGCAGATGGATCTGTTTACTGACGGCGGGAAAGAGAAATCGTTTCTCATGCTGCGTCTGAACCCCACAGTCCGGATATGCTAAATAGCTTCGACCAAAACCCCGACTCTTGGCTCCGGCAGGGCGGTTTCCTTTAAAAATGTAGGCGGGGTCGCAAGAGAGGCGCGGCCCGAGTTTCTCCGCCCACTTAACCGCCTGATCTCCACCCAACTTCCTATTGGTCCTCTCGGAGCGCAAGAAGAACCGCCTCTTCGTGACGATTGGCTAGAGTTCCGTTTCGGGTCCCCGGATGTGTGGACGTTAAAGTAGGCTATAAAGAGCTCGCGGAAGGCGGGAGCGGAGGCAGTTTTGAACTGGTGGCGGCGCACCGTAAAAGGAGGTCTCGGCTGGGCGAGGTTAAGATCTCCAGGTCGCTGCCTACCTTCCTCCCTCCGCCCGCGTGCGAAGACACCTCGTTCAAGATGGTAAGTGGTGAAGCAAAGGAGAGGGAGGCGGGGAGAAAGCGAAGAAGCGTGTCGTGAGGAAAACCGTTGGGACGGGAACGTAGGCCTCGGGCTATTAAGGGTCTCCCTGCTGGAGGCAAGCCTTCGAGTTGAGGGAAGGGGAGTCGAATGGGGGGGGAATGGAAATATACCAGGAAGGGGCGCGGTCCCACGCGGCATGAATGCGGTGACCGGGTGTTAGCTGCTACGGCACATGCGCCTTCTGAGGGGTGGCGGCGGTATTTGGGGGCGCATGCGCATTGGACACGTTGCGATGCAGCCGGGGGGGATGCCGAATGCTACAGAATGTCAACTAGGCATGCGTGAACCTTTACAGGGCGCCTTCGCGATTCTGATTTTAAATATCGAAAGGATCGGCGTTTTTAGTTTAATTTCTTTTGAAGCGACTGGGGCTGGAGAGCATGTGGCTGTTGGAATACCAGATGCTGATGGCTTCTATTCTCGTATTCACTTTTCCTGTCCCCACGTGTTAGGCTGGTGGTAAAGCAGGAAAAGACTCGGGGAAGACGAAGACTAAGACGGTCTCCCGTTCGCAGAGAGCTGGCTTACAGGTAGGCATGCACGGGGGGCCAGACTGGTTGTCTTTCTGTTGAGTCTCATACTTTTTTCCCTTGATTTCTGAAGCAAGGATCTGTCCACTGGCTTTGCCCACTTGTTAATCTGTATACTAGGAGATATGCCAATAGACTTGCCAGTGGCTGTACTTTACTAAAGTTGTAACTTTTTTTGCGGTGTATGAAGTTTCCTGTTGGCCGTATTCACCGCCATCTGAAATCAAGGACTACGAGTCATGGACGTGTGGGGGCCACTGCTGCTGTTTACAGTGCTGCTATTCTGGAGTACCTTACTGCTGAGGTAAGTGGTTGGGAAAGAAAAGAAGCAGTTGTGTAGTGTATGAATTGTGGGGTGTAACATGCATTTCTTTTCCACTGCCCCAGTAAGATTGCAATGCAGTGAAACCTCCAGAATATTGATTGCTCTTAACCACAACGTGTAAGGTAGAAGTGTGTGCTTTAAAGAATGTGTGTTATAAAATGATGACTGAAAAAAAATGCAACACATGAAAAAAGTAAGACAGACAGCCCATGGTGAAAAAAAAAATCTAGTATAACTTAGCAGCAGAGGTCATACTTTATATAGACTCAAGATCAGTCTAGGTGTTGCCAGGTATGGGTGCAAAGCAGTGTTTTGAAAGCAGAAGAGCTAGTGCCATTCTAGAATCTGTATTGATTATTTCTGAGTTAGATGAGCCTTGCTTCCTTAATAATAAATTTTAATTGGGAAAAAACAGTGGCTTCCAAGTATGTATGAGATACTGCTGCTTTTGAGGTATAACATATTATAAAGTGTCTGTCCCAGACTTTCTCAGTGGATTTCAGGAGTCCTGCAGTGTCTTAGATCATTTGAAAAAGAAAACTGAGACAAGAAATGGGTTGCTTATGTTAATAGTTAATATATGCTTAACAGTGGCACAGCCAGCTGGCTGGCGTCTTAAACATAAACTTGTCAGTTACAGGTTTAGGATGTGTTAAAATGTTTGAAAATTTCCACTTGTTTTGCCTCTTTACATGCTGTTAAAAATTATTGCAGGTTCTTGAACTAGCGGGAAATGCATCCAAAGACTTGAAGGTTAAGCGTATTACTCCTCGCCACTTGCAGCTTGCAATAAGGGGTGATGAAGAACTGGATTCTCTAATCAAAGCAACAATTGCTGGTGGAGGTATGTGCATGCTTAAGTACTGTCATTTGCCATGACCAGTGATGTAGTTTTGCTTTAACACTGTTGGTATGATGTAATGCAGAGGTGGGCAGTTAATTTCTATAGGGGGGCCACATGAAAAATCTGAACTGTGTTCAAGGGCTGAACCAACTTTACTTAACAATAAAATGAAACAGTGATGTTTTTATTTTAAACTTGTTAATCTTCACAAATACTAAAGAGGTTTTTTGCAGTATGTTAAAGATAAGCAACTGATCAATTTTAGACAAAAAGCTATAAATGGTTTTGATGTTCAAAACTGCCCGCAGGTCGGACAGGAGTGGCTCACAGGCCGTATGTGGCCCTCGGGCCGCACTTTGCCCAGGTCTGATCTAATGTGATGGGAGCAAATTAATAACCTTTCTTTCTTTCTCTCAGGTGTAATTCCACACATCCACAAATCTCTCATTGGAAAGAAGGGACAACAGAAAACAGTTTAAAGGACTTCTTGGACTTTTAAATACTCACTTGTCCAATGTTAGTGGATATCCAGTGGACTGCATTTGTGAAACACATTTTTGCCTTTCTGTAACCTTGAAGATGGAGCCCATCGAGCTTTTTAAGAAACCAAAACTCTACATTGAAGTCTTAACCTTATTTAAGTGTTACATGGCTTCAGAGAAGCTGTTGTCTGTAGTGTTCTTGGCTGTTTTAGATCTGTTTGATTTTAATGAGATTCTTGACATTGTTGCTAATCAATAGATTTTATGCTTATACACCATGCAGTTTAACTACAGAAGATTCTTGTCACTGGCACTAATTTTATTTAAATACAATTAGCTGGTGGTGATAAACTCCAATAACAGGATAATATGAATCTCTTGTAGTTAAAATGAGCAGGTTTAAAGAAGCAGGTACAGCACTGGTTTATTGTACAAACAGTATTTCCATTCTGAAGAAAGAATTCAATAAATGTTATACCATTATGAAGTTTCTGCTCTGGTTAAGCAGTAACTGTTGCTTGAGCCATGATTAGCTTGCTGGCCAAGTGAATAAGTTGGGACTGTCTTAATATAGAGTAAGCAGGATATTGACTACAAGTGTCTTGTTGAGGATATCTACTCTGGTGTTGTAGCTGCATGTTCCCTGCTATGAAATAAAATGTAAATGCTGCTATTGATTTCAGGTAGAACTTTATATAGATTAATTGAGCATACAAGGCAACATCCTTGAAAGTAGTGTTAAGTATATGCATTAGGATGCAATGCTGTTTCCTGTACTTCAGCTGCCACAATCTGAGCATGTTTGTATTAACATGTATCCATAAATGTATTGGACTAAAACCACCTGTTGCCCACTTCGTTTAAAGCCTATTTTCAGTATATCTCAATATGACTCAATTTATATTTACTTTTATAATGGTCCTGGTTCTTTGCATAATTCACATGTATTTTAGTATATTTTTTAGTTATGCTGGAGGGGCAAAGAGACTGGAGAAGATGCTTACTTAGATTTAAGGGCATTTTAGGACTTTTAAAACGGAAGTTAGCTTCTCTGATGAGGTAGATCACATTCTGTGCCCTTCACCATGGCCTTTGACTCCATCTGTCATCTCTCAGCCAATTTAAGCAGTTTATAATGAGTGTTGTAAGGGTATAATTGGAGGGTCACAATTTCTTGTTTTATTACATTGCTGTTGAGAAAAAAAGTTCACTCGTCTTGAATGTACTATGCATTTCATGGACTATGCCTGCAGTGTACAAAGTTCATTGTCTTGGAAGCTATTTTATTTTTGTTTTGTTTGATAACCTGCATTCATTTACTGTACTAGCAATGTACTGAGAAGGCGTAAATGCTAAGCATGTTGATTTTAAAAATAAGTTAAAATTCTTGAGCCTTTCTACTGAGTGCTTAATCATACTCAGACAGCTGGAACTTGCTTGAGAAACAATATCAGGTACACGGGTGTAGAACTTAATATGCTGCTCTTAGCAAACTTCAAAGCTGGTGCTAAATGAACCTTGTAGAAGTACCACTGTCACTTGATGAAATGAAATTTGATTGTATAAGTTTTGACAAGTGCATTGGAAGTAAACTTTTGGAAGAAAACATACTGTTTCTTTAAGTCATGTATTGATACTTGCAGGAAATCATTTTGCAGTTGACTGTTGCCATACAGAGCCACAGCATGCTTTGGCTTTACCCTGGTAGTTTGCTCAAAATGTATGTCTGTATGCAAAGTGGATAAAATGGTGGAGTTTTCACTTCATAAAATTTAGTGCCAATGGAGCACATCATGAGACTTGGCAGGGATATTTGTGCTGTGCATGAAGGTCTGAGTTCTCTCATACTGTAGTGTGTTAGGTTTTCCCAGATTTCATTTTTTTTTAATCAGTTGTGCAAGAAATGTCACAGGATGTTCACGGCTGTATCCAGTACCATGCATGCACAAGTGTCAATCTGCTGGTAATGGGTTAGGTGTGCATTGAAGTGGCACAGGGAAGAGCAGGAGTCTAAAGTTGAAAAGGTGAACTACCGAGAGCTACCTTTATAGCCTAATTCTTCCTGTGCTGCAGGCCAATGGGCTCCTAGAGTTATATATGCCTTTGGTGGTGCTTTATATTGCATGCTCAGTTCTCAGATTTCCAATGAGCTAGTTAGTGGAAATAGACACTTCCGCTTACCAGCATTGGTTGGTACATCATCTTCAGCATAGCACCTTTAAGATCAAGGTTTCTGTTAGAACGAGCCTCTGATTCTGAAAAGCAATTGACAAATCAAATTTGGCTTGTGGCATTAAGACTTAATTGCCACGAGTTGCCTTCCAGCAGGGACCATGTGAAATTTTTTAAAAAGCGTGAATAATATCTTGAGAATTTACATTAACACCATTACATTATTTTAAAAAAACGGAAAGTGGTTTACAAATTCAGGAGAATAAATCAATGTGAAATAAGAAAAGATGTTAAAAGGTGTCTGTGCCGAACGAAGCTCCCACCCTGAAGCCTATTGATCAGGGGGCGACCCCCAGGAGCGTGTCAGCCCGCTACTACCGTGACGACGACTCGCCGCCGCTTCTATGCCGGGGGAGTGACGGCGCTTGCGCTTTCGGCCCAGCTGGCCGCGGCGCGTGCGCAGAGCGATCGCCGGGACCGGTTGCCGAGCCTGTGCCCGGAAGCGAGAGGAGCTCCGGCTGCCGAAGGAGGCCGAGT